TTGTGGGGTGCCCAGGTCTTTACTCAGTGCCTAACACATAATGTTCCCTCAATACATATTTTATGAGTGACTAAAGGTTGGGAGGTTGAACCTCATAATGGGATCATCTAGAAACTAAAATTGAATCAGCCACCAATAGTCAGTGTGGAGTGCTAGACTTCTAGTTAACGGAGGAAAATACCAGATACTATAATAGAACAGGTGATCATTTGATGGGAGGACATTGTGTGTTTTCTGATAAGATAGGGAATAATGTTCCAGACCTCACCCCTCAGTCACATGCTCTTCTCCCATGTAGACCTCAGGAGAAAGGAGATAGAAGTGAAGATGTATAGCCTACGAGAGAGGAAGTGTCGTGTCTACCGAGAGATCAGCGAGCCCCAGGACGATGACTACCTCTGTAAGCTCACCCTCACCAAGGAGCATGTTATGTCCTTGATGCAATAATTTCACCTGGTCTTTGGGTGCCCAAATCATTCCCTTCCTCTCATGACTGGGAGTACAGGATTGAGGCTCACTGATGTGAGCTCTTTCTGAAGCTCTTCATGTGCAGGAACATGCACTGTACCCTCCCTAATCCCTGTTGCTCTTGCCTCCAGATTGTGAGAAGTGTCAGGATTTCTTCATTGACAGCTGTGCTGTGCATGGGCCTCCTATGTTTGTAAAAGACAGTGCCATGGACAAGGGGCATGCCAACCGCTCAGCCCTCACTCTGCCACCTGGGTTGAGAATTGGACCATCAGGCATCCCTGAGGCTGGGCTTGGAGTGTGGAATGAGGAATGTGATCTGCCCGTGGGCCTGCACTTTGGCCCTTATGAGGGTCAGATCACAGAAGATGAAGCCACAGCCAACAGCGGCTACTCCTGGCTGGTGAGAACTTTACCTCTTCCCTGTCCTCTGGCTTCCCCGTCCCTCCTGTGGCTTGGTGGGGGCACCTGCCACACACTGGGCTCTCTAAGGATCAGAGGGTAAATGGGAGCAAAGTGGTACAGACTCCTCGTTTGTGGGGCTCCTGCTTAGTGGACAAATCGACTCCGACGTGTAGATGATGAGTAAGAAAAATATCCTGTGATCACCATTGGCAGTTGAATCACCATGCAGGCTGAAAGAGATTTGATGACAGAAAAGTAATTATCCTATTATATACACACAACCACACACACACACACACGGCCTTTAACTTCTTTTCCTGAAATGCAGATCACCAAAGGGAGAAACTGCTATGAGTATGTGGACGGAAAGGATACATCTCAGGCCAACTGGATGAGGTAAGGTCACTAGGCTTCTGGGTGCCAGAGAGGACACTCATGCCTCACAACCCACATGTCTGTCCTTCCCATCATGCCTCCCTAATGGTTTCCCTCAGTCTTCTGTTCCTCTTTTTTCTCCATACAGTGATCTTTAACATCTAGAGACATTTAGGAAAAAAGGAGGTCACCGGGTTTGATGGGGAAGTCTGGAATGAGGCTTTGGAAATGGCATTAGTCAGGATGAGCACTGTGAGCAGGACTTAGAGACAGGAATTCACATGACATTGTGACAGAGGCTTGGACATTGAACAGAAGTTTCCCCAGGAGCATGGGTGTGGGTGCCATCAGAGCTGAGGGCCTTAAGAGTCAGTGAGGAGCTGGACACGAATATGACAGGTAGTCGAAACTCATCGCCTGTGGTTTTCTTTCCTCTCATCTGCCTCAACGCCAGGTATGTGAACTGTGCCCGGGATGATGAAGAACGGAACCTGGTGGCCTTTCAATATCACAGGCAGATTTTCTACCGAACCTGCCGGGTCGTGAGGCCGGGCTGTGAGCTGCTGGTCTGGTATGGAGAAGAGTATGGCCAAAAGCTGGGCATCAAGTGGGGCAGCAAGTGGAAGACAGAGCTTGTGGCCGGGAGAGGTGGGCACCACTCTTCTTCAACATGGAAAGAAAGAATTCTTAGAAGTTTTCAGGGTCCAACACTCTCAAGTGGAGTAAAATCCACTCTACAGTCAGTAAACAAGTAGAGTAATCCACTCTAGAGTCAGCAAAGCTTCAAATCAGATGCTTCAGAAATGGATGGCTCATCACATAGGTCTTTGATTCTTAGGAACAATTTTAATATTTTTATTTTTGTTCTAATTTTTAAAAATATGCTTTTATTGGTTTTAGAGACAGAGATGAAGGCAGAGGGAGAGAAATATCAATCTGCTGCCTCCTGAAAGCCCCCTAC